CCGCGTCCCCCGCCGCAGCCCTTGCGCCTTCACCAGGCCGCAGCCTGATGCACCTGACAGCGGTTTCCGTTTCCCCAACGCTCCCGGTGCAAGCAGGACCGCCCTGCTGCATCCTCCCGGAGCTGTCCCCCGACTCCGCACTTGGCCTCCTTGTGTGCACTTGGGCCCTGCGGTTGTGAGTGAATGTCAGCGCAGGAACCTAGCCTTCCTGTCGTCTGTAACACCCGTTGCAGGAAACCTACTTGGGGCGCATTTGGAATGTGTCATTGCCTCGGCAGTTTGGTTACCGCGCTACCGTGCAACAGATTTCCTATGTGCCTAAAGTTCAGTTGGTGGAAATGCGTTTTAAGTGTTTAGAAAGTTTTCCTGATTGATAACTCCGGCCTGTCTGGAAGGGCTGCATTTCATTCTTTCTTCCTGGTATCCCCCAGGAAAATCAGTAACTCTGCTGGTTGGTAAATTTGCGATTCATTCTATTAGTTTCGCCCCAATTTATTTGCCCTCTTAGTTTCAGTGTTTTCTTGGCACTTTGACATTACTGCATTCCCAGTGAGTAATTCCCCTAGTGAAGCTCAGCTTTTATATGATGGAGTTGCATTAGAGATACGGCTGTGGACATCAGTGTGCCTGCCCACTTAGGCCTCTTAGGAGAAAATAACAGAAATGAGAAGAAGCTACGTTGCTGTGGGAAAGAATGTCAAGTCCTGGAAACTTGCAGAATTGATGGTGTAAAAGGATGCTTTAAAAGCACAGGAATCGAAGGTTTTACAATATCAGAAAAACATGCCAATTTTCCAAAATCTGAATACACGTGGATGAAGGAAGAAGAGACCCCCCCCCCCAGTAAACCATTTTGTTGTGTTTTTGGTCATATTTTCAGTCTCTCAACCTCCTTGTAGCAGTCCTTTGAGAACTGACAGTGCTGTCTCATCTGTGATCTGGATAGTGCTGGTAAATCAATCTATGGACGCTGTGATTTGTGCTGTTCACGCCCCACAGAGATACACATAACCCTGATCATGACTACCTTGTGAACACAGAGGAGAACCGTGAAGTGAATCTAGTTTCTCTCTTTTATACGAACACACAATTCTCTTATACATAGTTCTTGCCAGGCTTTGGTCAGTTGCAATTTAATGCAATAAAGCTGTGCTGAGCTACTGTAGCTTAACGACCATTTAAAGTGTTAGCAATACTTTAGAGTCACTTTGTAAAACTTGATATAGCATACCAACTTATGTCACAAAGACTTATTCTTTATGTACACTGTACATTTTAACTTATAGAACTTAGGAACCAAAAGAAGAGAAAATTGTAAAATTTTAAGAAGTCTACTGCTTCTCTCTTTCCTGTACTCTACAGGAAACTACTTTTTTATATTTATAGACTAATTTTTAAATTGTTTTTGTTTACATGTGCATTCCTTCATAGGTTTATGCATGTCACTTTCATGCAGGTGCCCTTGGAGGCAACAGCGAATTAGATCCCCTATAATTGGAATTTCAGATGCCACGTGGGTGCTGGGAATCAGACCTATGTCTTCTGCAAGAGCAGCAAATGCTCTTAACCACTGAGCCATCTCTTCAGCCCCTAAAATGGGTCTTAATTAGTTCCTTGTATACCCAGGCTCCTTTTCTATTATTTATCCAATACATTGTTCTTAAAATGCTTTTGTAAATATCATAAATATAAAAAAATGTGTTTTGGGTGTAAAATTGGTACCCCACACATGTATATTTAAACTTATTACCTGTCTTTTATTTTCACATTACCATATAATTAGGGGCTGGGTGTGGTGGCACACACCTTTAATCCCAGCACTTGGGAGGCAGAGGCAGGCAGACCTTTGTGAGTTTGAGGCCAGCCTGGTCTACAGAGTGAGTTCTAGGACAGTCAGGGCTACACAGAGAAACCCTGTCTCTCAACAACCCCCCCCAATATATATACATAAACACACGTGTGTGTATTATGTATTTATGTTAAAAAGATACTTCAGCAAGAAGTCTATAGATTATGAACAAATGTATAAGATGAATGAAGTGGATAGTAAAGGGAAACAGAAATTCTAAAATGAATGTCCTTGTGTCCCAGATCAGGTTCTTCATTCAGTGAAAGGTTACCACCTACAATTGCGGTTACAGTTACTCTCCTGTTGGATAAACTCTTACAATGTTACCACTTACCATTCCTGTTACACAGATACTTTCCTATTGGGTATACTCTTACAATGTAACCACTTGACACTTCCATGTTGGGTAAACTCTTACACCTGAATGAGATGTTCATTATGTTGTGATTAATTTACATAAATGAGATTTAATAAGGTAAAATTCCCATAGTGATACTGTCTTAGTTCTCTATAAGACCAAACTAGTTGACAATTTTTGTTTTAATGTCAAGGTGACCATGCTCTTCTGTGTGTCAGAATCAACAACATAGCAATGGCTGTTGGCAAAGAAGCTAAACTCTACCTGTTCCAAGCCCAGGAATGGCTGAAGCTTCAGGAGAGCAGTCCTGGGTATAGCTGTAGTGAGAGGTTATCCAGAGCTCAGTTGACAAGTGAGTATATGGTATTTTTGTTTGACTATTAGATGTGGGTTCCCCTCCCCATAATGTTGAAGCATAGTATAACATGGTACAAATATGTATATACCAAGATGTATATTTGCGACTACATACATTTAACTGATGATATTTTGGTTATGTTTTCAGCGGCATTTTTCAAAAGCTAACCATTTCTTTGTTCAAAAGATAGAATGCTTATTTCTCCTTTTATCATTCAAGAAGTTTTTCAATGTCCAATAATTGATAAAGGTGTCTTGGCTTATACTCTACAGTTTATGTAGTTCATGCTAGTATGCCAGATATCTGGTTGTCGTATGCAGTATCATTGACTAGGTATTACCTGCCACCTGCACACTAAACATTAAACATGTTAACTTCATATGACTCAGCCCAAGTGATGCTGTTTGATAGCGTGCCATTGAGACTTAGTTGTATGATGGTGGAACAGCAGGGTCTCATGATTAGGATGCGAGAGAGACAGAGGGCGGGGAAACTTTTAGAATTTAGGAATGAATCACATATGTCATTCTACCCCCAAGATTAATTGGTTCTAGGGGACATGATTAAAGAATCTGTTTTAGTTTCTTTTCTATTGCTGTGATAAGAGTTCAATTGAGTTTATGGTTTCAGAGGGTTAGAAACGCTGGTGGCAGGCGGGAGTGGCATCAGGAAGCTGGGGCAGTAGCCAGGCGCTCACATCTTGATCCACAAGCTGCAGGCAGAGATCATACTGGGATGGTGCGAGCCTTCTAAAGCCTTGAGAACGTAATCCTTCCCAAACTGTTCCATCAGCCGGACACCAAGCGTTCTCATTGCAGCCACTGCAGTGCTCATGAGAAAGAGAGCAGCCATCCCCTCCCCCTTTCCTCTTTGTTCCTGAGCATCACCCTCAACTGAACTGAGCCAGGTGGACGTCCCGTTCTAAATATCCACTCAGCTGTCTGGATGCCTGAGCGGCGAGAGCCAGGTGGACGTCCCGTTCTAAATATCCACTCAGCTGTCTGGATGCCTGAGCAGTGAGAGCAGGGGAGAAAGCAGTTCCCAGGCCACCATTGTCCACCGTGGATGTTTACTTCCTAGATTGTTAGCTGACATCTGTAGTATTCAAAGAGCTGAATGCTCACATTCAAATATGGAGGGTACTACAGTTATTTATGCCAACCCTGGATTTCTGAACTTAAGTGGAAATTAGTACAGTCACTATCAGCTTTCCTTTCGGGCGCGTTTGCTCATCTCTGCATTTCCCGTGTGTGTGGAAGTCCTCCTCCTTTGCTCTTCAGTTCCCCGAATGTTCAACCTGAGCTTCCCATCCAAAGCCCCCATCCTACTCCCAAGTGCACCTTGTTTCCAGAAGCGGCCTCCTCACCTCCTCACTTCACTCGTGGGGGTTTGCTTCTAACTCCCTTCTGAACATCTGCTCTCTGGCTTGGAACTCACTCTGTAGATCAGGCTGTCCTTGAACTCACAGTGGTCCGCCTGCCTCTGCCTCCAGAATGCTAAGGTTGAAGGGGAGTGCCACCTACCTGCCTGGTCACCAGTGATCTTTCTACACAACACCTTTGATCGCATTGTCTTTGTTTTGCCACCACACCATTAAACTATTTGAGTGTTGCCCTGCTCTTCTGATGCCCACAGGCTCCCAGCTTGATGAGCAGAACCCGAGGGTCTCCGCCACACAGCTTCACACCCCCTCATTTTATTGTCTGTGCTCAGGTAATACTCTCCAGGGCCTTTGCACAGGCTTCTCCCTTTTCTGATGCTCTCTCTCCACAGCACGCACGATTCCCACTTCTCTTAGTTTTTCAAAATTCTGTCAATGACAGCAGTGTCATAAACCACGCGTCTGTCCATTTGTCCCTTCACTGAGCAATTGTGTGGTTGCATGCACAATGCCAGGCATTGCTGATGCGTCAGTAACCACACCACAAATGTCTTCTCAGTCCTCGGGGGCAATGGTGACAGGAATGTGTCAGGTCAATGTAAATACATAGTCAGTCAGGTCTAGAGAGATGGCTCAGGTGTTGAGTGCTTTCTGCTCTTGCCTAGGACCGTGTTCTGTTCTCAGCACACTGGTCAGGTGACTCACAACCTCCTGTAAATCTATCTCCAGCGCCTCTGACACCGTCTTCTGGTCTCTTTAGACAACTCCCTCATTTACAGAAACCCACACTTTCTCTTCTCTTCTCTTCTCCTCTCTCTCTCTCTCTCTCTCTTTAGACAACTCCCTCATTTACAGAAACCCACACTTTCTCTTCTCTTCTCTTCTCCTCTCTCTCTCTCTCTCTCTCTCTCTCTCTCTCTCTCGCACACACACACACACACACACACACACACACACACACACACACACACACACGTAATTAAAATTAATGGTTCTCAAACAAGGTTCCATGAAATTTCAGTTGCAGTAGTGCAGTGAATTTTGTTTATGTGGTACACTGTGGAACGACAGACAGTCTTTGAGACCTGGTGCTTAGTGAAATGTGTGTGTGGTAAGTGCCTGGAGGATGCGCAGCCCCCAGCCTCATGCTTGGCTAGCAAGAGTGGTAGCTGGCCAGTTGATTTTTCTTTTGTTTTAATCTGGCTTTTTCTTGTCAGTTATTTAAAGCCTTGGGCTTTAGGATTGTCACTTGGTTTTCTTACACCACATGGTTGTAATGTAAGTCTTTACTCCATCCCGCCCTAGCCCTGCCGCCATGCAGGCACTTTCCACCACGCCGCCTGAGTTCCGCCCACCAAGTTAGGGCCCCAAATAACACAGATTTATATTAGTTTACAAATACTGCTGGCCAATTGACTAGGATTTCTTATATGCTAGCTCAGTCTTAATTATCAACCATAACTATTAATCTAAAGACTTATCTCACGGAGATGCCAGCAGCAGGTGTCTTCTCTTGCTGGGATCACATGGCAGCTCCAGAGCAGAGAGAGCAGGTGGAAGAGGAAGAGCAAGAGAGTGATTTCCTGCTTATATTCTGAGTCTGCCTGCTGTATCACTTCCTGCCTGGATTACAGACTTTACTACATTTCCCAGAATCTCCTTTGAATCCTAGTCCCACTTGCTTTCCTATTGACCAACAGTACTTTATCAACCAATAAGATAAACATATACACAGAAGGACATTCCCCATCACATGGTCTATACTGTACCCTATCCGATAGCCATTTACAGAAACGCCATTTCCTACACAGTCAGAGTGCAAACCCACTAACCTGGAAGTCACTGCAAGCAACTTGTGAAAACCTGTCCATATAACAAGCACATTGGACCTCGTTTAGGTTCCTACCCACTCTGAAATGTTACAGCTGGAATCACTACGTTTTTGGGTTTTCTCTGTGCAGCCCTGGCTGTCTTGGAACTCACTGTGTAGACCAGGCTGGCCTGGAACTCAGAAGTCTGCTGCTTCTGCCTCCTGAGTTCTTTGCCACCTCTGTCTGGCTTGAAATGACTACTTTTTAGCAGGGAGATAGATACAGTACTGTAACCTGATGGAATCCTTTGCCTTTTTTGTTGTTGTGCGTCTTTTTCCCTTTACCTGTTCTTCCAAAGACAGGAGTATTTTTCGGAATTATGAAATGAAAGGTAACAGAGGGTCTGGAGAGACGGTTCAGTGGTTAAAAGCACTTGCTGCTCTTGCAGAGAGCCTGAGTTCAATTTCAACACCCACATCTGGCAGCACCATACATAACTCCCTGTAACTCTCACTCCAGGGAATCTGATGCCGCCTTCTGGCATCTGGGCTCACCTAACATACGTACACATCAATTTGAACAAAAGAAAGAAAACAGAAAATAACAATTTTAGAGGAATGAATACCATTTTGTTAAATTTGGGAGCCTAAGATAAAGTACTTAAAAAGGTATATGCTTGTATGTTACATAGTTTTTATATTTTTTTAACCTATGTATTTTGTATATACCATCATGTCCTAATTTGTGTGTCAGTTGTAACTAACTCCATGACCAGAAGTTACTTGGGGAGGAAAGGGTTTATTTCAGCATACAGATAATAGTCAGTCATCAAGAGAAGCCAAGGCAGAATTCAAGCCGGGCCGGAACTGAAGCAGAGACCATGGAGGGAGGAACACTGCTGATGGACTTGTTCCCCATGGTTTGCTCAGTCTGCTTTCTTTTGCAGCCCAGTATCACATGCTCATGGGATGGTGACACTATCCACAGTGGGATGGTGACACTATCCACAGTGGGCTGGGTCTTTTCTCCTCAACCTTCAATTAAGAAACTGCCCCACAGACTTGCCCCCCCCCCCAGCCCTGACTGATGGAGGTGATTTCTTAACCTACGCTCCCTCTTTCAAGATGATCCTGGCTTGTGTGAGTCAACAAACCAGCTGGTGTATATATATTTCATATATGTATGTTTTATTGATTTCACCAGTTTTTTTTTCAACAAAATCTTAGCCTTAAAATCTGTTTTAATCTTTTGGATTATTTTTTTTAATTTTTTTATTTGAATTACAAACAAGATTGAATTACATGACAATCCCAGTTCCCTTCTCCCTCCACTTTTCAATCTTTTGGATTATTAATGGTCATATTTATAATGTATTGCTACTCAGGAGGCTTCAGTGAAAAAAAGCATATTCATTCTTTCATGCCCCTGTAGTAGTGGCACATACTTAATAATAATCCCTTGGAATGAGTACATTTTCAGAATAGAAATCTGATTTCTACAAAATTGCCACTGTAGTAAGCTCGCTGTTTGTGCCCTGCCCTTATGTAAAGCCTTGCTGCTGGCACACACGGAAAGTGAGGATCAATCTGAAATATCTGTTCTGAGAGTTGCTAACAGATACACTGGAACTGGGCTAAGGGTGGTTGTGAGCACTGTGTGGGTGCTGGAAACAGCCCAGGCCCTCTACAGGAGCAACAGTGTTCTTAGCCACTGAGCCGTCTCTCCATCCCCAACATTAAAGATTTTTCTCATGTGTGTGTTGGGGGAGGGGTATAGGGATTGGGTCTTATTGGTGAAAGGTAAGTGAACTGCCCAGATTAAGTAGTTAAGTACAGTATTACACAGAGAATAATTTGCATCTTATATATCTCACACACATGATCCCTTTTGTGTGTTTGGTGTACTTTAAAAAGCATGTTAGGCATTAGTATTTTACTATGCATTCTGGTTAACAGTATTCCTTTCTTTTTATAATGATTGGATAATTAGCCATTCAACACTACTTCAGTGATTCACATTTTGTTAATATTTGAGATACTAATTACACCCTCATAGAACATGCATGCTGTGTTGTAGTCTTTTGTCTCAAAAACAATAACAGTATTGTCAAGAGGCTTGCTGCAAAAAGACAGCGAGACAGAAACCAAATCCAGCTTCACTTTTGGAAGCAGTGCTGTGCTTCTGTTTATGTAAGTCTGTATAATTTAAAGAGAAGCATCAAAAGCTGTCCCACAGTGGAAATACAATGTCACAGTTTTGTGTCATGTCATCGTGAGACAAAGTCTAAATTCTAAGACACACAGCAGCACAGTAGAGCCTTGTTTTGTAAGGAAAAGCCCACATTTGAGCAGCCTCATTTGAGCCATATATGGATGTCATATTAAATTCTTAGTAGGAGCCTTTGAGTATTGACACAAACTAACATGTTAGCCACAGTTTTTCAGAAACTGTATATGGGGTGGGGGGAGTAGAGACAAAGTTTCTCTGTGTAGCTGCCGTGGAACTCACTCTGTAAACCAGGCTGACCTCAAGTTAGAGATCCACCTGTCTTTGCCTCCCAAGCACTGGAATTAATTGTGAGCACGTGTGAGACTCTGTGTGTGTGTGTGTGTGTGTGTGTGTGTGTGTGTGTGATGTGTGCGTGCACTCAGGCTAGAGAAGGATGTCTGGTTCCCTGCTGTCAGTTTCCCTCTTAACTGACTTGAGAAAGGTCTCACTGAAGCTGGAGTGAGGCTGGCAGAGTTAACATTTATTCCTACACTGCGAACACATACCATACTAGAAGATTCACAGAACTTATTCTTTGCATCAGTTATTTACTGTGTACACACAGAAATTCAGGTATCATACTTGTCTTAGTTTATGTTTTCATATCACAGTGTATCATTGAGGAAAGTCAGGACAGGAACTCAAACAGGGCAGGAGCCTGGAGTTAGAAGTTGATGCAGAGACTCTGAAGAGTGCAGGTTACTGGATTAGTGCTCATGACTTGCTCAGCCTGCTTTCTTACAGAACTCAGGACCACCAACTCAAGGATAGCACCACACACCATGGGCTAGGTCCTCCTCCATCAATCATTAATTATGAAAATGTCTTGCAGCCAGATCTTATGGAGGTATTTTCTCAGCTGAGTTTCCTTCCTTTGAGATAATTAATTTGTGTGAAGTTGGCATAGAACTAACTGTCCAGCTCAATACTGAAGCCAGGTTCCAGTACAAACCCCTGTCCCAGCATTGGTGGGTTTGTCCCATCTTACTAACACATGCAGATCTGACCCAGTATTGCTGTCATTTTTTTACTACTAATAGTATGTTTTGGAAAGAAAAACCAATTAGAAGAAACATTTTTTTAAACAAGTATAATTTTTGGATATAAGCATTTTCCTAGTGAAAAATTCCATTTTAAATTTAAATTAAGGAAGTTACTTCCAAAACTGTGGTTGCAGCTGCTGCATGGTGTGGTATGGTTAACATGATTATTTGGTATATATTATATAATTTTTAAATATTACTAACCCACTGAAAACTTTGTAAACATTTATTGAAAATCCAGTTTCAAGGTAAGAGAGATAGCTCAGAGGTTAAGAGCACTGGCTGATCTTCCAGAGGTTCTGAGTTCAATTCCCAGCACCCACATGTTGGCTCACAACCATCTATAATAGGATCTGATGCTCTCTTCTGGCATGCAGACATACATGCAGGCAGAACACTTGTACCATATATTTTTTTTTTCAGTGAAACTGTTTCTTTTGTGATATGTATTGATACTTTTATAGTGATTTCATTGCTTAAATTGATAAATTTAGTCTGCTTTAGTCTCTATCCTTTATTCTAATACTATACCATGGCTTGAATTTTTGAGGCAAAAAAAAAAAAAAAAGATTTTGAACTCAAATTAATTCTATTACTAAAGCATTTAGACCACTGCTTTGAAAGGTGCTGTTTTCTCTCTCTAAGTGACAATGAACCAGACCGAACACAACCTGACAGTGTCCCAGATTCCGGCTCCCCAAACATGGCATGTGTTCTATGCAGACAAATACACCTGCAGAGAGGACGTGGAGAGTCCCCAGGGGGAAGATATCCCATTTGAAATGGTGTTACTAAACCCAGATGCTGAAGGAAACTCATTTGATCATTTTAGCGCTGGGGAATCAGGTAAGGTGTGGGTTTAAGTACATCCTAAATGCAAAAAGAGATTTGTACAGGGGGGATCTTCATTTTACCTTCCTAGAATATTTAAAATGAAAAGCAGCTGAACTTTAAAAGGCAGAAGGCTAAATGTTATATAACTTGACTTCAAGTGTGTTAAAGTCAGAAAATAAAGTATAAAATATTAACAGGTAGGTTGTATATACAGGTAATAGAATTGTATAATTTTTTGTTTCCTTTATACATTTTAAATCTCAGTTTTAGAATATCTTGGGATTGTTTTTATAAATAAAAATGATGATGAACTGAGCAATCTACACTGAGATATAAAGTAAGCTACTTTGTAGAAATTTCCCTCCCATTAGTTTTGAACATACTGGGACCTTGCTTTTCTGGGCTCATACATACATGGTAATGGTTAAGTGTTCTGTGTTTTCTTGATTTAGAGTTATTCCCACAAGTCTTCATTAGAATTTTAGGTCACTGTGCCTTGCCTTACTGAAGTGAGATCCTAGCCACATAGAGATGATAAAAGTGCTCTAAGTATGACAGGTTATTAGTTAATGTGCTGGAGTAAGCATCAATCGGGCCTTCTGTCAAGGGACAGGGTTTAGGGTTCACTCCTCCACGAGTTACTTACTGGCCATTTGGAGAAGTCAATAAAGAAAATGCCGTTGGAGCCTGTCCATAAAGCAATTGAGTTGAACAAGAGTAAGGCCATGTTAGATTTAATTAAGTCTAGTGAATAAATTTGCCAACATTAGAGAAACAAATCAAAGCATGTGTAGGAGAGTACCCTTTGACTGTGAAAACATTTAGAATGATAGTGGCGGCACCAAATGTCTTAGAATAGTTTCAAAACATAATCAAGATGTTTGTGAGTACAGAGTACTGGCTTAGGCTGTGTTCGGCTAATGACACCTTAGGCTGTAGACCATTACTGGAAGTCAGTCTGCAGTGTTTTATCCTTGCAAGTGATGCCAGTGGCTGTTTTCAATACTGTAAGATGCCATCAATAAAACCCAGGCCAATGGGTAGCATTGGGCAGAGCTTTGGACTAATGGCCCTCATGGTGTGACAAAAGAAGATTCCATTACAAGAAAGTAGCGCTCTGCCAGGCCACGGGTCTTCCCCTTGCTGCCTGCAGATCTGAGACCTGCAGCTCTCTGCATCTTGATAAATGTTGCCTTCCTTGTCCTGGCTCCTATTTTAGTTCTTTTGTTTTGTTTTGTTTTGTCTTTTGTTCTCCTCCCTAAGTTGTCATCTGAACTTCAACCCCACAGCATAAAGTAACCCATTTGCTGTGCTGGGGCCTCGAAATGTGAGTCATCCTTGTCCTGACTTTCCCTGAACTTGCTCACACCTCTAGAGGTTTCCTGGTATCCAGGGTTTCTGCTAGCTTTCTTTAGAATTCACACAAATAACTCCAATCCATCTGTCAGTACTCGGCTTCCTGGCTTTTGTTACTGATTTAGTATTGAAAAGCTTATTCTAAAATGGGAAATAGGTCATGCCCTGACAATATTTGATTAGTTAGGAGATTCTGTGCAGAACCACCTGCAAGGACTGATTATTTAACAGTCAAAAGAGCTCAGAAATGCCTTGGGTTCTTTTGACAACTTTAAACCCAGATGTACCTTGGATTATTGAAAACCAGTCTGTGGTTGGCTTACTTTCTGAAAGTTTACATCATTTTGTTGATTAAAATGTATAAGAGCCCTTGTGAGTAAGTCTGTATTGAAGTTTAAATTGATGGTTTTAAACCCATCACTATAGAGAAAAGATTTATAAATCTAGAGAAGCTATATTATTATTGTTATTTTTCAAAAAATAAAATATTGTGAGGCAAAGGCAGGCAGATCTCTGAGAGTTCAAGACAGGCCTGGTCTACTTAATGAGTTCCTGGACAGCCAGAGTTATACAGTAAGACCATGTCTGGGAGGCAGGGGGATAAAATAAAAAATAAATTCACTTCTCCCAAGACTCAGACTTGTTTTGGGTTATAAGCCAGGCATTGAATCAGATTGAATCAGAGGTCTGAAGTTATCTAAAGTGTAAAATCACTGCTGTAGAAAACTGTACTCCACATCTTGTGGGTGATATGTTGGTTTTATGTTACAGGGTCCTTCCTACTGTGGAAACCTGGTATAGAATTCTTTTCTAGGCCATAGGCTCCAGTTCATTTAGAAATCTGTTAGTTTGTCTAATTATATACTCTGGGTAAGAAAATCTGATTTTCTGCTTTTTATATTGAGAATTGACCCCACAGTTGAAAGATTTAAATTAAGTAACCTACTACAAACAACATACAATTAATGTTGCATGGTATTCTCTTTTACTTTTACAACCTGTTTCCTTTCCTTTGGTCCAGTGAATGCATTCTAAGTCTAGACTTTGGTTAATCCCTGATTTGCAGTTAAATCTAATTTTACAAAACCAACTAAGGCAAATTTGATGCCACTAAACAAACTACTAAGTAAGAATATAAGGCTTTTCAGGTAGAAAAAAGTGAAATAGCTTCTTTAAACAATTAATCATGAATTTGAGAGGGGGGCAAGTGGGAAGAATTAGAAAGGAGGGGTATAAATGATATAAATATATGAAATATGATATAACTCATGAAATTATCAAAACAAATAAAAAATCAAAAGATTAGAATTATTAACTATGTCTTCTGCTCTCGTTTGAAGTACCTAGACATTTGAGAGCGTTCTGCCTAAAGCAAACAGCTGGTCTTTACTGAGATAACATTATAGGCTTTGCTGTAGTCTCTAGATTTCAGCAGACACATTTATGCTTTTCTGTTTCCCCCTTTCCCCTCCATGTTCTAAAAGTAAGTGGACACCCACTTAGCTCTAATAGTGTTCCAACTGTTGGGCTCAATGCAGGTGATATAGGTAGTACAGATACTAAATATCTCGAGAAAAGGTTAGGCGTGGTGGCACACACCTTTAATCCAGCACTTGGGAGCAGAGGAGGATCTTTTTGAGTTCCAGGCCACCCTGGGCTACAGACTGAGTTCCAGTATAGCCAGGGCTACACAGTGAAATCCTGTCTCAAAAAACCCTAAAAGGTATTAAAAAAAAAAAAAAAGGAACAGAAATAAAGAAAAAGGTTCACACATCTATGTTTTATCAGCAACATCAGTTTCAATGTTGGAAGCCCTGGGTGGTTTTGGAATCTTGATTGTTGTTGGGACACTTGAGGGTGGGAATTGCTGGGCCCCAGGGCAGGAAGCAGGCTGGACAGGAACTGTCCACTGCTCCCCCCTCTACCCTTTCTTGATGTGGAGTTGCTCAGATGGGGCTATGGCTACTGGTGCTGTCCTCTAAGTCTTCCCCCACTCAGTCTCACCAAGGCTTCTCTAGGGCTTGCTTTATGATACACACATTTCCTTGTATGCAGTCATCATCTGCTATGTGTTCATCTGAGAGTTGTCTTCAGTGTGCACTGACTTTTAAGACTTAGTTACCCACCTGTTTTAAAATTAGATTTTAATTCCAATGTGAACAACCCAAATTGCTTTCTTCTGACTTGCGACTGCTAGAGGCAAAACAAAAGTGAAATTGGTAGCTAAAGAGAAAACAGAGCACGTCTTAGAGCTGATCTACTTAAAAGGAAAAACAATAATGAAACCCAGAGTGGAGAGCCTTCATTATCTTTAAAGTGTGTTAATGGGCAGGATCAAGGTAAAACTCACTTACCAAAGACTTCGTTAACAAAATTTGAGTCAATATCTGTGTTTAGTTTATTTAATATATTCATCCAATCAAATATCTTTGTTCTCCCTATATAATCCTAGCATTTTCTGGGAGATATATTTACCACTGAATAAAGTCCATTGTCTTTAAGTTATTTTGATTTCTCAGTAAATAGTCATGATTTTCTTGTCATGTTGGATCTGTTACAGAGTGAGGCCTGAAACCTGGTCCTGTGACGGGTGCTTTACAAAACATTACAAATAGGTAAAACTTTAAACAGACGCTTCATGTGCTTTGTCTAACTTCTTTAGTACGAGGAAGGAAAAATTAAAAACTTAGATCCAAACCTGGGCTAGTGTAGGAATGGTTTTGGCCCATAGCTTTTAATGTATTAGTAGCACCTGTGTTTTCTGCCTTGATTCAGCCCTATAATAATCTAAGGATTGCCATTGTCTACAGTTAAGTCTCTTTCTATGAGGGGAGCATAGGAACTAGGAGGTTTCTCCCTCCTAGCAGCCCATAGTTCTCTTAGCCCAGCTTCTCTGCCCCGGAACCATGAGCTCATCGCTGTGTAGTAGAACAGGAGAGACACCCAGTGGTAGAAGAACTTCTTGCTCCTTTTGCTTCTCTTGCTGATGCCTTCAAAATGATGGGGTTTGAGTTATTTGTGTGCTGTTTTTACTGGGGTGTACACGTCTCCTGGTTTGCTTTTCCAAAGTGTGTTTCTAATAATGAAAGTAGTTTCTTTTTTCTTCTTTAATTGGCATTTAACTCAAATGGGAAGCTAGAGCCATAGAGCCAGCTCAGGTTTCTCAGTGGATGGGTCAGACGCAGGTCCATCCGCAGACTCAGGAGAGCAGACGCAGGTCCATCCACAGACTCAGGAGAGCAGACGCAAGTCCATCCGCAGACTCAGGAGAGCAGATGAAAGTCTATCCGCAGACTCAGGAGAGCAGATGAAAGTCCATCCGCAGACTCAGGAGAGCAGATGAAAGTCCAGCCGCAGACTCAGGAGAGCAGACGCAAGTCCATCCGCAGACTCAGGAGAGCAGATGAAAGTCTATCCGCAGACTCAGGAGAGCAGATGAAAGTCCATCCGCAGACTCAGGAGAGCAGACGCAGGTCCATCCACAGACTCAGGAGAGCAGACGCAGGTCCATCCACAGACTCAGGAGAGCAAACGCAGGTCTATCCACAGACTCAGGAGAGCAGATGAAAGTCCAGCCGCAGACTCAGGAGAGCAGATGAAAGTCCAGCCGCAGACTCAGGAGAGCAGACGCAGGTCCATCCGCAGACTCAGGAGAGCAGACGCAGGTCTATCCACAGGAGCGCTCTCTGTGTGCAGCCAGTGTTGTACCTTGGTGTCAGGTAGAATGTCAACGCCTGCTCCTAGGAACCACTGTGAGTTTAACTGAGTATAGCTGACCCTCCATGTCAGCAGAGTCCTCATCCATGTTTGCAGACAGCCACAGATGAACAGTATTACGTGAGAAGTTGTCTATGCTGAAAGCATGCCCTCTTGGTCCTTTTCAATATTCCCTAAACAATACAGTATAATAATTAGGTTTTGAGGGTAACCTATAGGTGATTTAAAGTGTATAGCAGGATGTGCATTGGTTTTTATACATAACTACCATCCATTTCATTTAAGAGATGAGCATCTATGTGTTTTGATGTCTGAGGAATTCCTGGGACCAGTCCCTCTTGGATGGAAAAGAAAGACTGTAAATGAATCCTTTAAATTCAAAAGATGAAACTACCAGTCTTATAACTTGAAATTTATTAGATTTTTTTGTGTGTGAAATTTCTCAAGTAAAAACTCCAATAATTCCAAGTATAGGGAAAACATGCTGTTTATTGTGAGTTCACATGAACACTACAGCAGACCAGTGGCAGGAGTTACATCATGAGTGGCACAATTACTTGGTTCTTAACTTTGCTAGTCTCCTTGGCTCATAGTTTCTGCTTACTCAGAACTTTGACATTGTAGTTGCTGGTTTGACTGTGGCCTCATACAGCAATTAGCTCCTTTCAACTTCAGCTTTGATGGCCAACTTTCCATGTTTTGTAATTTGAATTCTGAGGAGACAATATGATTCATCACCGCTTGGAATGGTGGTCACTTGTTTGTCATAGTTCTCCTTCATATTGACATGGAGTCCCCTGATTGCCAGAGGATTTCCTCTTTGGCAGTAGCTACAGAAAGTACCAGAGAAGAGGGCTCTGGATGTAGATCTTAAAGCTTTGCCCAAATGAAAACTCAAGGTAATAGAACATCCCCAAACTGTGATTCATATGTGTTGTTATCAGAATCACCACAGGGCTTCCCAAACCAGACTGCTTGGCTTCAGCCTCCACTTTCTGGTTCGGTGGATCAGAATTGGTACCCAAGAATTTGCATCACAAGTCTCTGGTGATGTTGCCAGATTGGGAACCATACTTGAAAAAGCACAGTCAAGGTCTGTTCAGCTCCTGGTGACAGTAAGTGTTCTAAAGTTCTCAGAAAAGATGTGCACTTTGAGCTTACAAAGTAACTGAACTCTGAAGTCACCACTGGCCTGGCTGCTTTCAGACAAAGCAGAGTTCTGATTTTCAGGGAGTGACTCTGTGGTTCCACAGATTGACTTTAACTAGTTTAAGTTGCCATCTTATAGTTAAACCTGGTCCATGGGGAAAAGCTAATAATACCCACCTTTCTTCCTTGCAAGACTGAATGCAAAAGGCACGCCCTCGAGGCAACTTGAGAAGGTGTGCAAGGCACCCCAACACTGTCCTGTGTTACTGAAGCAAACCCCTCTCTTCTCTTCACAGGGTTGCATGAGTTCTTCTTCCTCCTAGTCCTGGTGTACTTTGTGGTGGCCTGCGTTTATGCTCAGGCGCTGTGGCAGGCTCTCAGGAAGGGAGGTCCCATGCACATGGTCTTGAAGGTCCTGACAACTGCACTGCTGCTACAAGCTGCCTCAGCCCTAGCTAATTACATTCATTTCTCCAGGTAATCAACCATGTGTTCATCATTAACTCATCCTAATTAACTCGTCCACAGAAATGATGCTTGCTTTGCTTATGAGCCCTTTTCCACACTTGTGATTTATAATCGTGCTCTGCTCTTCACTTCCTCAGGTACTCCAAGGATGGAATAGGGGTACCTCTTATGGGAAGTCTGGCCGAAGGTGAGGGTCTGTCCGAGTACTTTCTCAAAGATAAATTTGCCATATTCTGAGAGGGGGAGGGAGAGAGACACAGAGAGAGATGGAGAGACAGTGACAGAGAGACAGAGACCGAGACCCTAAAAACTTTGTTTTCAGCTAGTACTTGCCTAGCATTGAAGGAGGCCCTGGGTTTGATCTCCAGCCCTGTAAAGTGATGATGGTGATGCTGGCAATGGTGTTCAATAATTATTTTTGCTGTGGTGTAGTTTTCCTATTCACAATGTAGTCAGAACTCAGCTTAACTAGAGCAAGCCTGTAGATTTAGTACCTGGATCTTGTTTGATCTTGCTAATAAGCAGTGTGTCCAGCTTAGTTCTTCACTGTTTGTTGCCCACATGGACTTCCTCAGTTCATCCTCCATAAAAAGCAGACGTGCTTTGCTTGTCCCCATTCTGCAGAATGTGCTCAGATACAGGCTGCACTGCTGCACATTCCAGATGTCATCAGGCAGGGAGCTGCAGAGCCCAGATTCAGACTCAGGACTTCATTTTCCTGTCGTCATTCCGTGTTCGCCTATACTGACTCTGTTTCTGATCCAGGACCACATACACACCTATAATTGAGCTGACCTCATATCTTTGTTCTTTTGTTTATAAGAGGAACTCTTAGTAATTTAAAAAATGGAAAGGTCTGGTAATCATGACATTTTAAAGAGGACTTCTGAGAGAAATGAGGTCATGCCATGCTTTATACTCAGAAGTGAACGCTCTGGCCGGCAAAGGATTTTGAATATGGAACCACGCTCGATGTTTTCCTTTTCTTCCCATAGCTCCCTTTAGTCTCACCTTTCTTTAGCAAGGTGTCTTTGGACAATTGCCGCCTGTCTTCTCAGAACTCACTCATCTGATTGCATCACCTATTTTGATTCAGAAACTTGGGGAACTTTTGTTACCTTGTGAAACCAAGGGTACAATTCACCTTGGACATGAACACGAGGGTCTGTCCCTTCTGAATGCTGTCTAGACCTTGCTTTTCTTTTGAACATATTTGCTAGGGCAGGTCAGAACTGTAGAGATAACTTAGGCAGTTGAGGGAGTTGACAGCTGAAGAGACGGAGCACAGCTCACAGACCTTAGCAGAAACCTTGTCCTGAAATTGAGGGTCATTGGCTGTTTGTCTGCTGTGTGAAATTGTGGGCGCCTGACTTGACTTTTCCCCTTCCGTCCTGGGAATTCTAAGACTTTCTGCCTGTGACACAAGCATTCTACCACTGATTTATATCCCTTGGTATTTGAGAGTGGGGTTCACTTTTTGTCTTTGAGCTTACTGTGTAGCCTGAGCCTCCTCCAAACCCCAAATCCTGGCACTATCTCCCAAGTCCTCCAGTTAAGTATTGCACCCCATGTCATGTATTCCTCCATGCTCTGTGCAGTAGCTGTTCTAACTGGAACAAATTGATGTTGCTAAGTGTTGGTAATTCTTCCAACAAAAGAATTATTAGTTAAGTGATTAAATTCAAGAAAGCAAAGTTCTTACATGATCTAAGTATTTCATCTATAAATAAATAAAATTCACATGTATCTACATTTTTACAAATATGAATATATCTATTTATATATAAAATAAAAGGCAACAGGTTATTATTTTTGGCAACAGTGAGCATAGGTTTTCCTATTTAGTTATTGTATTTTATCGATCTTTGTAACCTGGTGTATAAAGAAATGAGCTGGAAAATGAAGGGGATTTCCCCAGGTATTTGTTTTTGCTACTTAGGAGCTTACATAGGAACCCCTTCAGCCATCTTTTTTATCTAGTTAGCTGACTGCATTTATGAAATGTTTAATGAAATTAATTGACATCACACTTAAACATGTGATGAAAGAGAAATGTGCTTGATCTGTCAGGCTGTGTCATTCACGTGTAGTAACAGCTCTTTATCAGCAGTCACTGAAACCATCCACATACATACATAAGTCTCCTGGGGAGACAGACATCTGTTTTCCCCAGAAAGCACACCAAGAACAGAATTGTCTGTGCTTCATCAGGAAAGGGTGGGGCACTGCGGGCCTCTCCTCACCCTCCTCCAGGACGGGAAGCCAGTGGTCCTCCATCTTGTGGAGCTCTCCTGTAGGTAAACAGAGCTGCCAAGAGCTCAGGAAGTCAAGGCAGTGCCACGCCGTGTCCAGAAGTCAGGGTGTCACAACAGTGTGTGTAAAGTGGCCTGTTTCAGCGCAGACGACAGAGCCGGAGGAAGTCTGTCAAAACACATCTAGCATGTATTGTTATGTAGGGGGTAGCGTGCTATGTTGTGATCACGAGCCATTCACAAACTCCGTGATAAAAAAAAGTAATGGCTTTCACTGTAAGCAAGCAACTGTTACTTAGGAAGATGAGTATGCGTGGACCCCGAAGCATTTGTCGACTTTTGTGTATTCGTTTGCTGCTGTGCGGTGTGCATCTGCATCCCGTGGCTTTCCTGACCGCCTGGAAAGTGCCGTTCTCCTGCAGTGCAAGCGCTGGCCGCCTGGTGGCACATGGCACTAGTTCATGGCACTAGTTCATCTGCCTCCCGGACTCTGTCTCCTACTCTTTCTTAACACTTTTAGAGAATACTCCATATTACAGTTCATCCATCAAACATCAATAGCACCCTAAAAAGGATACTAATATTTTCCACATTCCAGAAATTATATTTAAGATTTGTTTCTTTTGTCAGAATTGTACATAGCAATAAGAGCTTTAAGGAGAAGAAAGAAAAAAATAGCTTTAAGGTTGGACAAATACAGATATAATATAGCCATGTATGTACATTTTTAAATGGTAGTATTTCACTGTTCTTAAAACCAGGTACAAATTTTATAACAAATATTTAATGTTTAGAACTATTAGACATTAATATCTCTTCCTGAATTTCCTGGGTTGCTTTTGTGGTTTGAAAAGGGGCATTCGCACGCCAATGTGAAATGTGCCAGGTGCTGTGGGCTGTGCAACTTTGTTGACTTTGGTTTTCGTTCCCCTCCAGTTTTTGACATTGCCTCCCAGATTCAGATGTTGTACCTGCTCCTGAGCCTGTGCATGGGGTGGACAATTGTCAGAATGAAGAAGTCTCCAAGCAGACCTCTCCAGTGGGACTCAACCCCTGCGTCCACAGGCATCGCAGTGGTCATTGTCGTGACCCAGGTGAGAGCTGACCCTGCACACCAAGTGTGCCTCACTGCACAACGGACACTGGGATTCTAAGAAATTCAGATGAGATGATCTCACTAACCTCCTGGTGCCCATGTGTTAGAGAGCAGGGTTTGACTTACTAAAAATTGCATTTCCTACTTTTTCTGTTTCCTTAAATATTAAAAAAAAAAAAAAAAAACATTTCTTGGTGCTAGAGAGGTGTCTCAGCAGTTAAGAGCACTGGCTACTCTTCCAGAGAACCCAGGTTCAGTTCCCGGCCCCCACACGGTGGCTCCCAGCCCTCTGCAACTCCAGTTCCAGGGGACCAGATGCTGCCTTCTGATCTCTTCAGGCAAAAAAACCCATACACATAAAATAAATTAAAAATAAATGAATTTTTAGAGAAGCCACGTACACTCATTTCTCAAATCACAGCTCTCTTAAAAATCCAGGTTTTTAAAAATCGCTTCATTATAATTGCAGTCCATTGTCACTGACAAATAGCCAACTGATAAGATTGACACTGCTCTAGACCTGGACACTGAGAGTTAGACATAACCGTCATCTTCAACAACAGCCAAACAACGATAATGACACCAACAGTCTATCAGCTGATAAACACACACGTGTGGTTTTAATATACTGACCACACGTTAGCACAGGTGTGTGTAAACACAGAATTCAGATGTGGAAAACCAACTTATAGGAAATGGCAGTTCTATCATCATACCTCTTTGTTGTAAAAGTCAGGTTTAGAAGTGTAGTTTAAGAAACCAGATAGGTATAATTTAGTGTAAGGGAAGAATGGTGATTTTAGTAATAAAACTGTGTGTGTGAGTGTGTGTGTGTGTGTGTGTGTGTGTGTGTGTGTGTGCGCGCGCGCGCGCGCGCTTGTGTGAGTGTGAGTGAGAGATTGTGAGTGTTTATGCACATGTGTGTGTGTGTATGTGTGTGCTAGTGTTTGTGTGTGTTGCTAGTGTGAGTGTGACTGTTCACATGTTTATGTAACAGTGTGAGTGTGTGAGTGTGTGTCTATTCACATGTTTATGATGAGGACAGTGTGGGGGGTGTATGAGCATGCAGGTGGGGGCGGGTCTGTGACTATGTTTCTATGTTCTTGTCTCTGTGTATAGCAGCTCAGGCACATGCTTCCACACCCAGTTTTTTCTTCCACTGTGAGTTTTAGGGGTAGACTCGGTCCTCACTGGGATTGGGTAATGGTTGCTGGAGGAGGGGTTGTCCCTTGATTCAGTGGTGTGCAGGCTTCAGTAAATAGCCTCCCAGCCGTGCAAACAGCCCTAGTTAATGGTGACCACCTCCGACAAAAGAGAAACACAAGCATGGGGTGGGGCTTGTAGGGAAGAAGGGTTTCAGTGGAGGGGGAGGGGAAGGGGGGGGAAGACTAGATTTCATTATATACATGTATAAAACTGCCCAAGAAGAAAAAAGAAAACTTATTTAACACACAAAGTGAGTGTGTTAGATTTTCAGTGTGTTTACATTCTTAAAGTCCATGCTTTTCCTGTCACTCTAGGTAACTTCACATGCTTAACTAAACATAGAGACATTCATATGTCTTTCTATATGAACGAGGTACTAGCACCTCTAAGACACTCTGCCTAAGAGTGAGTTGTTTCCCTAACTTCCCCAATGGCAAGTTTCAGATCCCAAAGGACGTCTCCTTTGTGTGACCACAGCAGCTCTTCCACTACAGTGCTGTGGTGGTGAGAACTGGAGTAGATAGTGTTGCTGCTGGCAGCCCCATAGGCCAACGGAATTGGATTTTGTTGTTTTGAGATGGGTCTCATTATGTCGAGCAAGCTGGTCTAAAATTCAGAGAGCTCGGCCGGCACCTCCTTAGTGCTGGGATTAAATGCAGGAGCCACCAGGCCCTGCCAAAGAATTGGATTTAATATTGAATTTTATCTATCAGTGGTGTTTGGAAGTGACTAAAGACTCAGTTTTGAAAGCTGAGCTTACATAAGGAAATGCAAAAGCATATTTGATGGTAAAAAGATTATAATAATTTAAGTACTTGGAGTTTAGTAAGGACAGAGCAATAAATAGAACAGCAGAAAGCTGTGTTTTGTTTTGTTTTGTTTTGTTTGTTTTATTGTCACAGCTTTGAGAGGTAAGGTCACAAAAAAGTAAGGGTGGGTGACAGTGCCCAGGAGTTTTTACCAGATATCACAGATGTGCTTTCAGACTGAGACCCAACAACCTGTGTCCAGTCCTGAGTCCCCACATAACAATGGGCAAACCCACAAAGTTGTCATCTGACCTCTACAAACATGGTGTGGTACAGACATGCACCTTCACACACACAGTAATAGCAAAATAAAATCCAAACAATAAACAAACATGTCTTCCCTTACTTTAGGAACTTGCCAGAAAGAGTGACATTTGACAACAGTTGGGACTTGGCACACTCTGTTCGAAAAGATGGAGCTATTTGAAAGTGGTCTTAAATTCGGCATGCCCATACGGCCAGATCTCAGTGGGCAGAGACATGACATTGATGAAACTTTTGAGGCCAAGCCTCTCATAAAACCAAGCAAGTTAGCCTCGAGACAGCGAGGAGGGTTGTGATGGGAGGAGGTGGGCTTAGAAGAGACTGCACTCTTCGCCTTTTTCATCTGTTTATTCTTAGTGATGATGGTTTTGGCTCGTGGTAGCAATAGTCACTGCTTGTTTATTGTTTCCCTGGGCATCACTGGGTAGAAATCCCTCTCAAGAGTAGGAGAGCAGGAAAAGAACCACACTATTGATTGACAGCCTTTACAGTCCCATAAATCTTTGCTTTCCTCCGGAATGTTTTTCTAGCATTCAAAAGATGCTTACAGAAGGGCTGAAGACAAATTTTATTGAAAATAGGTGTATTTTTCTCTAATTGTTTTTCTATTTACAGAGCATTTTGCTCCTTTGGGAGCAGTTTGAAGACACGCGTCACCATAGCTCGCATTCTCACCGCAGCTTAGCAGGGGTCCTTCTGATCGTCTTAAGAATTTGCCTGGCCCTGTCACTGGGCTGTGGCCTCTCCCAGATCATCACCATGGAGAGGAGCACGCTCAAGAGGGACTTCTACATCACATTCGCCAAAGTATGCACCGGGCAGGAAGTGCTTCCTCCTTCCTCTTCCTGTGGGGAGTTAGTGAGCTATTAGCCTGGGCTGCTTTCTGTGTGCCTCAGCAGTGCTCGGAGCCTTTGTTCCTTCAGCTAGTCTTCAAGCCATGCGTGATGTGGTCACAAAACCATTTTGCAGAACCCATGCAACCATATTTTCCACGTAACCTCTGAAAGGGCCATTGGCCCACATGTTGTTTTTTCTTTACCAATAGTGATTTTTCTTCTCTTCTGTGGGAATTTTTTTTTTAAATGTATTTGTCAGCATCTGTTGCCCGTCTGTACTGTTACTCTTCGGGTCGGGTTCTGTGACAAGCCGTGAGGAGCTGTCCTTTAGGATGAGAGGATGCCGCCCAGAGGCCGGCGCACATACTGGGTGGGCTGCTTCATCCGCCTGTGTCCACGCTGCTCTGCGTCCTTGTGCCTGAGAAATCTGAGAGCAGCTTGGATTCTTTCTGTATCCATCCAATCCAATGCTTTAGAGTTGCTCCAATGCTCGGAGCAAAGAGCTTCCGAGCTTGTCTGTCTTAGTTCTCGCCACTGCCTCGTGGAATCGGTGCCACCGGCCCCTACATTCCTCTGCTGGAGAATTTGAATATATGCATTCCTGAAAGCATTTCCCTCTTTTTCTGCCAGTGGTAACATGCTGAACACTGTCTTTCTTGCTCCTCAATCTTCAAAGTGCCCCAAGCATTATAAACTTGTTTCAAATTTAATTTTGGAAAAGAGATACATTTTGACAGTTCCTGGGAAAATAGAGAAAGGTATTTGAAAAGCATACTGTAAAATTTCCTGTTCCCACTCACCCTGTTGCTTCTCATCTGCAATGCCACTCTGCCACAGTAACCACTGTGAACCTTCTTGGGTATTTTTACTGAGTTCATTTCAGTAGGGACATGTGACTGTGACCCCGATACATCTGTAGCTGGCTTTTCTCAGCTACCACTTACTACTTCCGATATCGCAGCATTGGTAGTGTAGAAGATATATGTTATGTAACATTTATAAGCGTAATGCTAGGAGTGCTCTAAAATTTAGCAATTTGGTTAGAGAAAAGTATTAATGTCGTAGCAAAAACAAATATATTTCTACATTTTATTTCAAGTTTATTCTGAAGTCAGTTGAGGCCTGTCAGGATCTACAAGAGAGAGAGTGTTAAGATTTTATTTTTATTTATGAGTATGCGTATTGTGCCCTTGTGTGTGTGTGTGTATAAAATGTCAGATCCCCTGGCACTACACTTACACTTGTGAGCGGCCTTGTGGGTGCTGGGGACTAAACCTAGGTCATCTGCAAAAAGACCAAATGCTCAGTAAGAATATTTGCTGAGCCATGTCTCCACCCTGGCCCCTAAGTATTTAATCATTGTTTGATTTTGATTCAGGACCTCAGTCGATAGCCCAGGCTACCCTCAGGCTGTAGTGTTCCTGCTCTAAGGGCCCTAATGCTGAGAGGACTCCAGTGTATGTTGCCAGGACCTGCAGTGTTCTGTTTTTGCTTTAATCTGGTGCATTCAGAAGCAAAGACGACAGATCTTACTGGCTTGTCGCTTTCTTCTAGGGCTGTATCTTGTGGTTCCTGTGCCAGCCAGTGCTTGCCTGTGTCGCTGTAATATTTAATGAGTACCAAAGAGATAAGGTGAGCAGTATGCATGTTTTCAAATCTTCATTCGGAACACGTGAAAGCAGGAGATGTTAAAATAGTGGCCACTCAGAAGTTTCTTGAGTTCTTTGAAACTCAAAAGAAAATATTAAAACTGGTGAGTCCATAAATTAGAAGTTTATAAACATTAAAAAGAACTTAAAAATTAGTTCATGAATAGATTGATAGAAATGGCATTTTTTTGTTGGTCTATTTGCTTTTGAAACAGGATCAGAACACATGGCCCTGAGCCTCAAAACGAACTTGGCTCTCCTGTCTCTGCCTGCCAGGTGCTGATCACAGCACATGCACCCAGCCCTTGAAGTTGCCTCTCTGGGTTTTAGCCTATTTCAGGGTCACGTTTTATAAATTCAATTAGAGGACATATAATGCATCTTTTTAAAAATGAGTAAAATTGTTCATTGTGTACTGGTAACAGCCAAAATAGAAAAATCACATTGCTTTAATAGACCGCAGAGTAGCATACCTGACTTTAGATTGTGTCAGTGCCTGCTTCCTTCATCAGCAAATGGCTCCAGCATTTCAGAGCAGAGCTCTGCCATTAGTGTTTACAGTAAGCAGGATTGTAGCCCACAGAAACAGCTGTGACTTGAGGCAGAGTATGCTTACTGCTATTATGAAATACCAGATTCCTGATTTTTCTTGTTACCAAAACTCATGTCTGTGACATGCATACCCTTGGGAGACAAGGAACTTTTCTGTTCTGCTGTAGTATCTGTAAACTAAGTGCCAAAAGAAGTTTGCCCTTGGAACAGTCACAGTCCTGAAGATATGCCTACCTTCTGTGGAAGGGGTTTGATGAGATACACCATGGTACAGGCGAAGGATGGTAGACTGTGTGTGTCTGATGAGATACGCCGTGGTACAGGCGAAGGATGGTGGATTGTGTGTGTGTCTGATGAGATACGCCGTGGTACAGGCGAAGGATGGTGGATTGTGTGTGTGTCTGATGAGATACACCGTGGTACAGGCGAAGGATGGTGGATTGTGTGTGTGTCTGATGAGATACGCCGTGGTACAGGCGAAGGATGGTGGATTGTGTGTGTGTCTGATGAGATACGCCGTGGTACAGGCGAAGGATGGTCGACTGTGTGTGTGTCTGATGAGATACACCGTGGTACAGGTGAAGGACGGTAGACTGTACAGAACAAAGAGTGGATGTGTGGTAAATTCAATGTAACTTTTCTGTTTTGGTGTGCATTGAAACATTCTCTTTTTCTTTTTACCTTGCTCCAGGTTATCACAATCGGTGTTATCCTTTGCCAGTCTGTTTCCATGGTAATTTTGTATAGACTCTTCCTGTCCCACAGTCTATACTGGGAAGTTTCCTCACTTTCCTCAGTGACACTACCACTGACCATTCCATCTGGACATAAAAGTCGCCCTCATTTCTGAAGCCCGGCTTTTGCCGGAAGCACAGTGAATTGGGTACGTGCAGTAAGGGTCCAGATGCAGTGACTTCTCTCATGCTCCTGCTGTGAAAAACTGAACAGTGAGCGAAGGCACAGCATGGTATTTATATCACTGCATTTCAGCAGTGCTGAAACTCTAAGGTAATAAATGTGCTGGAGTGCACTCAAACAATAAACCTGTGAAAGAGAATGCTGTTTCAAGGTGACTGAAGCACTTTTGATGTGGAAATGTGAAAGAGACGACTCGAATGACATGTGGGTCAGGTGCTCACACCTCCGATGCCTCATCAGTATTGAGCTCAGGTCTGATAGTCTTAAACAGTGCTCCCTCAAATGATCACGCTTACACATATCCAGCTAGCCCAGGTGTGACGTCAGTGGGAGGTGCTGATTTTAAAATACTTTTCATGCTTTACAGAACGTGCATTTCACATTACAGTTTAAAGGAATTGGAAATGAAATTACTTCAGGAAATAAATAGAAAGTATGTTAACATTAAGTGAGTTAGCTTTTGTTCATTCACGGGTGGGTTTATTCTGCAATTTCTCTCGTATTATTGGCCTAGATTAGGCTTTACTTTGATTAGGAAAGGATTTTGGACAATGTGTGGGAAATTCTAGATATCTTACATTGTTTTAAGGGCAGAGAGGGTTTTTAATCTGAACACTTGGGTGAAGGGACGAGCAGGCTTTTGTGTTTAGAAAGAAAGAAGGAAATAGTATATGATATGGCACTAAAATTCTAATCCTGAGATAATTCATTTCTTACATTGAATCCCCAATCATAATTAAGCTGTATACACAGATTAAATTAACAGAAGCATTTCACATAAATGTTGGTTTCAGTCGTCAACTACCCATGAATTCCTGGCCAAGGATACTTAATCAGGATTAAATTTTCTATGAATAATTGAAAAACAAAATACTCACTGGATTTGTTATAATCCATGTTGGCACTGGATTGTAAGTAGTTGCCATCTTGAATCCTTTGTAATAAAGCTGTGTGTGTGTGTGTGTGTGTGTGTGTGTGTGTGTTCCCCAGATTGAGTGTGTAGTTTTCTAAAAAGTGCCTGATTAAAGAACTGCTATGTGGTTATCAGTACTCACTGTATACAATGAGAATCCTGAGTAGTAGTTATTGATTGGCAATTACTCTGGTGGTATTTGTCAAGTTGTTTGGACCTTTTGTTTGCCTTTGGCTAATTTTAAATATTTGTATCTGCTTACCATGTTTTAAAGCATGGAATGGTGCAATAGCCTGGTAATTGAGTTTTTTAATGAAAGATTCAGGTAACATAGCACAATTACAAAGTACCTGTGGCTTTATCTTTATTTTTCCCTTGCATGTAGTTTTATTGGAAATGAAAATATTCTGCTTCATTTTAAAGGCAAAACATGTTTGCAGCTAGCAAATTGGCAAAGTAACACAGTCCAGCCACGATGAGAGCATTTCTCTAGCAGTGTTGATACCCTTCAGTAAAGGAGAGCTTACAGACTGACGCAAAGATGTGTAAGGTGTGACTCAGGTTTGTAGACCTACTGAGTGCTTATAACCATCTTCTTCTCTCTCTCTCGGCATCTCACTAGTTCTACAAGTTATATCTGTTGTGTTCAAGTATAGTTCAGTTAAGCCAAAATGAAAGTTCTGGAAACAACAGTGTTCTCTTTCACAGAGAGCTGGGTTCGTGTGATGACAGAAAGCACAGGACGAAGACCAATGTGCTTGCATCTCCAAAACTTTTAGCAGGGCTTTTGTTTGTTTTTTTAATATATTCAGTTGCTGGTAATTTATATTTTACTGTTAAGAGCAGTTACTAAGTCAGAAAAATAGTTGTTAACAAATGTATGGAACTATCCTCACCTAACAGATCCAAAGACAGAAGTATCTCCTGTCATAATAGTGTCTGTTTTCTGTCCCTCCCCTGCCTGACTTTCTCCTGTCAGACATTGCCTTTTAAATTAAGGGTTTTTCCTTTAAAAACATTAGTCTGTGGACACCCCCATCCTGTTAAGCACTGTTTTCTTTCTTGAAGGAAATATGAAGATGCTTGATTTTGTTGGCATGTATAGTAATGTAAATGCCTACTGTACATCAGACACCTTAACCTCACTATAACTAAATCAAGCACCCATCTAACTGAGTAGGAATAAATAAACGTTCCTTTGAAGCTCACCAGACCTTTTTATTATTCTTATTTTGCTTTCATGAGCTTTTGGACATATTTACTAGGTTATATGTTTTTAATTTTAATGTGTGTGTGTGTGGTACCTGTGGAGCCAGAAGAGGGAGTCACATCCCCTGAGTTAGTTATGGGCAGTAGAGACCCTCTGGCTGGGGGTGCCAGCATCCTAGTCCCCCGAGAGCAGCAAGCACTTGTAGCAGCTGAGCCGTCTTTCCAGCCCCTACTGTGTAGTTTCTCACTGGGATAAATGAGTATTTGTAGTCAGGCTTAGCTGATGATGGCAGAATTGGACCCGCAATTGTGCTGAAATCTGAAATGAACTTCAGCAGCTATGAAAATGTAGTCCCTTTCATACTGGAACCTAGCCAACAGCCAGACATGGAGAGTAAGTCCAGGTTGAAGGGCTTGCTGTCAGAAACTTCACGATAAACAAAGGAAGCCACATCTGATGAAAATAGAATATACACAAGTCTACGATAATGCTAGTGAGACTATACCGTGTATGTGAGCGGAATACTGGCCCCTTTGACGTGTTTCCTTCAGTAGAGAGTATGCTCTGGAGATTCTCTGGGGACTTCAATTATTTGTGACATTCTTATACCTAGTTTCTGTGGTGTCAAATCTTAGAGGATTTTGGTTTTGATTCAAGATGATAGGATTGTTACACGAAGCCAGACATTTGGAGGCTTTATGAAAAGAGGTTTACTGCCTTTAAACCCATGGTGGGTCCAGGAACTGAGACCAAACTGATCAAATGACTTCCCTGTGAAGTTGGGGTGTGTGTGGGTGGAGGGGGTGTCCTGTAGTTTACATCCGGCAGTCCTCTAAGTATCCTTCCTGCTTCTACACCTGGGTAATTGTCTTCACAGCTCCACGGACATGGTGCATGGCATGTCCTAGGAATGCCTCTGCAGCCATTCACGGCATAGCCCATACAGTCTCAAAAGGGAGATCAGCAGGATGGGTGGGATTTAGGATCCCTTTGTGGTGATCATTTATCAGGTTTGGTTTTGGTTTTGCTTCTTGTAAGTTTAGAATTATTTCAATACAAGGTGTGTGTGTGTGTGTGTGTGTGTGTGTATGTGTGTGTGTGTGTGTGTGTGTGTGTGTAATAGGTTCAGGCTTGTATAAAGGTCAACTATAGAACACTTGCCTGGCATGTATGAAGCTCTAGGTTCAACCCCAGTACCATACATGGAGGAGGCTTTCCTGTTGTGGTCAGACCTTCGCTACTGACAAAGCATTTTGTCTGACACAACCCTATCATGGCTGCCTTTTCTTCCTTGGTGCCATGGCTCTATCTTCTCCTGTTTCACCAATTGGAGTATAAATGATAAGAGAGTTTGCCCATTGTCTTTATTGTACATGGAGCATTCCCTAGTGCTCAGATACATACATATTTTTGTTTGTTTTATTTTTTTGCTTTATGACTCAGGCTGGGCTCATTGTGTGGCCCAAGCTGGCTTGGAAATCATGGCAGTCTTCCTGCCTCAGCCTCTCAAGTGCTGGTATTACAGGCATGAGCCACCACACCTGGCCCTCAAATGTATTTTTGAGGCGAGTGAAATGACTTAGCAGGTAAACGAGCTTTGCCATACAAGATTGGCAGTCTGAGTTTGACCCCGAGAACCCAGTATAGGTGGATCTGATACATATATACCATGGCACATATGTTTATACATACAAACACACAACAGTAATAAAATCATATGTAAGTGAACAAGTGAAAGAAATTGTGAAGGAAATAAAAACCCAGAAATGTATTTATCAGCATAGCATTACTAAACCACACTGTCTGCTTGGCTTCAATAGTGCCTGTCTTGTCCATTGTTCACTTACAGGGAGCTCCCAGATGTGTGAAATCTTTAGTCAGGTGTTATGAGGCGTTCGCCTTTACTGCCATGGAATACTTGGTGAGCTAAATGACAGGAGTTGGAACTAGCTGATAGAAAACAGGAAACTAAAAATAACGACACATGTCATAGCAGCTCAGGGTCATTTAAGGCAGTGAAAACATTTCCCTGTCTCAGTACACTCAGCTTTATTCAGTGTAACCCGTAACAAGTGCCTGTTACGATAAATCTTTCTGCCAAAAGCTGCTGAGCCCCACTGCCACGTGTAAGCTTTGCGCCAGCTGCCCGCCTGAGTTAGGCCCAAATGAATACACAGAAACTTGTATTACGTACAATGCTGCTTGGCCAATGACTAGGATTCTCATCTGTTAGCGCAGTCTCAATTATCATACATCTTTATATTTTATAAGACTTATCGTATCGGACGTCTTATTGGCATCCTTCCTTGCCGGTGGCTCACATCCTGCCGCTGGAGGAGGCGAACAGGAAAAAGGGGTCCTTCCTGTTTCTCCTTTGCTTAAATATGAGTCTCCTTGCTATGTCACTTCCTGCCTGGATCAGCACTTCTCTACTACATTTCCCAGAATCCTCTTTGATTCCTAGTCCCGTCTACTTGCTGTCTCATTGGCCAAAATTTTGAAGTCAAAGCATTTTTAAAATGTATAAGTTGGATTAATTTAGTAGCATTTATTTTAGCAGCAATAAGTCTTTTTTCGGCAATCAAACAATTTAAAGACAACAATATGGCATATAGTATCCAGATTCTCTGTGTATTTTCCAATTTTATGTGGCTTTTTTTATTACTTTATTTTTACTTTCTTTTGTTTTGTTTTGTTTTTTTTCGAGACAGGGTTTCTCTGTAGAAATCTGTCTGCCTCTGCTTCCTTCAGCAAATCCTACCAGTGTGCGCCATCACAACCGGCTAATCTATTTCTTCCTGTTATTTTTTTCTCTCACAAGCCTACATAGATTTTTTTTAATATAGTGTAAACCTTTAGAGGTTTTTCTTTATCTGGATCTGTCTTATCATCTTGGGAGTGTCGAGTCTAAACCCCAGAAGCACCAGGACGTCTCGAGCATATGGAAGCTGATCTGATGCCTCTCAGCGGCCCGACAGGGCAGGCTGTGGCGGCGGATTTTTCTCTTTCTCTGGAAACCTTGGAGCATGGAGTCATCTCGCTCACTGACACCATTCTGTTACGATAAATCTTTCCGCCAAAAGCCGCCTGAGCCCACCACCACGTGTGAGCTTTATGCCAGCCACCCGCCGGAGTTAGGCCCAAATGAATACACAGAAACTTGTATTAGGTTCAAAGCTGCTTGGCCAACGACTAGGATTCTCATCTGTTAGCTCAATCTTAATTATCATAAACCTATATATTTTATAAGACTTACCTTATCGGACGCCCTATTGGCGTCCCTCCTTGCCGGTTGATCACATCCTGCCACTGGAGCAAGAGCGGAGGGGAAAAAAAAGACGCTTCCGGTTTCTCCTTTAAATCTGAGTCTCCTTGCTATGTCACTTCCTGCCTGGATCATCACTTATCTACTACATTTCCCAGAATCCTCTTTGACTCATAGCCCTGCCCAACTTGCCGTTTCATTGGCCAAACAGTATTTTATTTAACAATCAATAAGATAAACATACTTCCCCCATCAGTAGTGTATGCACTTAATAGGAAGTGTGTGCATTTAATAGGAAGTGTGTGCATTTAATAGGAAGTGTGTGCATTTAATAGGCAGTGTGTGCATTTAATAGGCAGTGAGTGCATTTAATAGGCAGTGAGTGCATTTAATAGGCAGTGAGTGCATTTAATAGGCAGTGTGTGCATTTAATAGGAAGTGTGTGCATTTAATAGGAAGTGTGTGCATTTAATAGGAAGTGTGTGCATTTAATAGGAAGTGTGTGCATTTTGAACAAAAATCAGAGACATCTTAAAGGGATTGAGGTTTACAAAGTGGGAACCCTCCAGCTACTCCTCGTGTTGTAAATACTACCTCATTACCTGGAACTTTCTTGTTTATATTTCTAGAAATAGCTCCTTGCATAGATAAACATACATATGTATTAAAAACAAGTTGTAACATGTCACACACCTGCCAGTATACCTAGTAATGTATTCTGTAGCCATGCATATAATGTGTTTCAGTGTATGGATTCACTTTATTTGTTTAACCTGTTTTTATTGATTTGGACATTGTTGGTTTCCAGTCTTTTGCTAATATAGGTGGGGCTGAAATTAAGGCTGTGAAGTCAAGAATTTGCTTACTCTTCCTCCTTCCAGGATAACCGCCTCTACCCCACAACTTCCTGCATCTAAGTCCTTTGTAAGTGATTGACTAGTGTCTGGTTTTGAGTAAGATGACGTACAGTGGGGGTTGTCTACACAGATCAGCCATCTGATTAGAGTCAGTCATAATTGAAAGATGGGGGAAAGTGTTTTATCAGGTTTGTTTTTAGTTTTGTTCTTTCATAATTTCATACACACACGGTGGATTTTGGTCCCTCTGTCCACTCCATTTTCTCTCTGCAGTAACCACCCTCTCCCTGTTCCTCCCTATAAATCCATTTCCCCTGTTACTAGTTTTGTTTACTTACTCACTCACTCACTCAGCACTTGTAGACTCTATGATCCTGAGTTTGGAAGTAACCATCGTGCCTGGTGGACTTACAGCTGGATACAGTGTGGGTTCACAGCTGGATGATGGCAGCAAGTTTGTGGTTCCAGTGAGTGCCGTGTTTAGAAAGTGGTACTTCCCAGCCCCCTTCTCCATCCTTCCGGTCACTTCTGCGGTGTCTGTCTCCTGAGCCTAAGGGGGTGGTATCAGTGTCTGTGGCCAGTCTTATCTAGGCTCTGCTGCCGTTTATTCTCAGTACCGTGTGCAGCCATGTGTCTTTGTGTGTATCTCTGTTGACCGCAAAGGGAAGGATCTCCTTAAGGCTTTGCATAGCCCTTGAGGTCTGTGGATACAGATATTCAGGGGTGTGGCTTGATTCTGTTCGGTTCCGCTAAGTAGCCATCTTGGATGTCCACGTTCTCGTCCCCCAAACCTTTCATGAAGCCAATATTATCCTAGTACCAAAACTAGATAAAAACAAAGGAAATTGGATCCAGGTGTTGGTGGCGCACGCCTTTTATCACAGCACTCGGGAGGCAGAGGCAGGCAGATCTCTGTGAGTTCAAGGCCAGCCTGTTCTTCAGAGCGAGGGCCAGGATATGCTCCAAAGCTACACAGAGAAACACTGTCTTAAAAAAAAAAAAAACCCAAAACACAAAGGAAGTTGTAGACCAATCTTCTTTAATAACACCAATGCAAAAATTCCTAATAAAATACCTGCAAACAAAGATCACATCAAGATTATTTACCATGATCAAGTTGTTTTTTTGTTTTTTGTTTTTTGTTTTTTTTTTTCTGAAGATATGGGGAGAGCTCAACATAAATAAGTTAATAAATGTAATATTAATGGACTCAAGGGTGGAAATTGCATGATTATCTCAATAGATAAAGAAAAGTCCTATAAGAGCAATATCCCTTCATGATCAAAATCATAGAGAGGCTAAAGATGAAAAGGATATGTACACCTTAACATAATAAAAGCCATATATAACAATCTGTAGTTGGTATATCAAATATGGGGAAACTTGATGCATTTCCACTAAAATCAACCAAAACAGAGTGTGTGTGTGTGTGTGTGTGTGTGTGTGTGTGTGTGTGTTTAACTTTTATTCAATATACTGACATTTTAGCTAGTGCAATAAGACATGAGAAGGAACTAGAAAGGGATACAAATACCAAAGGAAAAAAATCAAATTATTCTTTTGGCAGATGCTATTCAAAACCCAAGAGATCCTAAGGACTGCACACACACATACACACACACACACACACACACACACAGAGAGAGCGAGAGAGAGAGAGAGAGAGAGAGAGAGAGAGAGAGAGAGAGAATCAGAGTGCGTCCTGGCTCTAATACTTTCAGCAACAAAGCAGGATAAAGATGCCTTGAAATAAACTTAACCAAAGAATTCAAAGACCTCTATAAAGAAACTTGAAAAAGGAAATAAAAAGCAGAGATAGAAAAACCTCCCATGGCCATGGAATAGGAGATTTGATACTGTGAAAACAAATGTATTATCAAAAACAACGTCATGGTAAATGCATAAAAAATTGGCATATTCAGTGCAACTTAACAAAGCCTTTCTTTGTGCAATCTTTTAAAATCTAAAATTCTCATGGACCCCAGATAGTCACAGAAATCCTGAGCAAAGAGGTTAATACTGGAAGGATCACCAAACCCAATTTTAATTTGTACTGCAGATTCACAGTAACAAGATCAGCATGGTAGAACAGAAACAGCCATATTAGCCTAAATGTAAACTTATACAGCCACTTATTTTTTATGAGACAAAAATATCCATATTAAAGCAAAGATAGAATCTTCAACAAGTGGTGGTGGGAAACTAGATATCCACACATGAAGTGATGAGACTGAATTCTTATATCACCCTGTACAAAAAATTCAACACCAAATGGGTTAAAGACCATACCGGTAGCCTAAGCTGAGGCTCCTGGAGACGAGGAACACCTCATGGTAGAGGCATAAGCAAGGACTTTCTTGGTAGGATTCCAGTCAGTCAGGAGACAATGCCAATAGCCGACAAAAGGTACTGTGGTAAATGTATTGTGTATTGTGTATTGTGTAAATGTATTTGGCTCTCATAAACCCAAAGGGAATAGCACTATTAGGAGGTGTGGCTTTGTTGGAATTGATACGGCCTTGTTGGAGGAAGTGTGTCGATGTGGAAGCAGGCTTTGGGATTGTATATATACTCAAGCCATGCCCAGTGCTTCAGTCATTTCCTGTTGCCTACCTTTCAAGGTGTAGGACTCTCAGCTCCAGCACCATGTCTGCCTGTCTGCCACCATGCTTCCCACCATGATGATAATGGACTAAACTTCTGAAACTGTAAGCCAGCCCCAATTAAATGTTTTCTTTTATAACAGTTGCCATGGTCATGGCATCTCTTCACAACAATGGAAACTCTAAGATGAATACTTAATGAAACTATAAGCTTTTGCACAGCAAAAGGAAAGAGTAAAGAGATACCCTACAGAGTGGGAAAAAAAACTTTGCTATAAAATCCAGAGTATATGAAGAACTCATACAAAAAAAAAAAAAATCAAAAGGCAGAGTAAGGAACTTCAGAGTTCTCAAAAGAAGGAATGTAAATGGCCAATAAATATCTTTTAATGTGTTCACTACTCCTAGTCACCAGAAATAAAAACGTCAGTATATTTTGAAATTCCATCTTATACTTGTCAGAGAGGCAGTCATTGAAACATTAGGCTGCAATGGTGCCTCATGGCTGCTGTAACTCCAGCCCTCCAGCTGTACACCTCCTTGGGCACCCACACATACACACACACACACACACACACACACACACACACACACACACCATTTTACATCTTAAAAAAGGAGAAGTACTGGTGAGGACATAGATAACTCATATGCACCAATAGTGGGATGTAAACTATTCCACCACAATGCGAATCTGCATGTAGGTACCTCAAAAACAAAACAAAATAAAACTACAAATACGTGGCTGGAGCTTTTCTGTCTCACCTGGCCGGTCCAGAAGTCACTTATAAAATAATCATTCAGAGGCTCAGAGGCTTAACATTAATTATAGTTGTTTTGCCGGTAGCTCAGACTTATTACTGGCTAGCTCTCACATGTAAATTGACTCATTTCTATTCATCTATGTATTGCCACGTGGCTGTGGTGTTACCTCATTTTCTACATGCATCCTCGGCAGCTGCTGGCATCTTCTCCCAACCCCACCTCCTTTCTCCCTGTGTATCTGCTTCGATTTCCAGCCAACCTATATTCTGCCCTGCCATAGGCCAAAGCAGCTCTGTCCATCAACCAATAAAGACAACACATATTAGCTGCGTAGAGAAGGACACCCACATCATAAGTAGATGTACCATGTGACTCATGCACCCAAATGATTTCAAATAACCACACCACAGACAAATAGAACATCCACTTTACCCAGGTAGCCCTGTTCCCAACAGCCAAATTACACAGCTAAACTACATGCTCAATAAAAGGAATGGATAAACATAGGTTATGAGAATCTTCATCCATAAATAGAATAGTTATGTCACTTGCTAGAAAATTGGTAATGGAGGTAGTTGTATTTCGTGTTTTGTCTCATTTGTGGGCCCTAGACTTTCTAGATACTTTAAGTCACATAAGTCCCGATGACATGAGAAAAGTAAAAACCACTTCAGAGGACTAATGGGGGTGGGGGTGGGGGTAGAAATGAGAAAAGGGTTAGGGTTAGGGTAGGTGGGAGGGAGTATGCTCAACGCACTTGTATGAAAGCGTACATGAAATGATATAGTACTATTTATAACGAAAAATCTTTAAAAACCTTACTTCTTT